CACACAAAAACACACACACGCACACACACACACACACACAAAAACACACAAGCAAACACACACACAAACACACACAAACACACACAAACACACACACACACACACCACACACCACACACCACACACCACACACCACACACCACACACCACACACCACACACACACAAACACACACACACACAACGCACACCACACACACACACAACGCACACCACACACACAACGCACACACAAACACACACACACACAAGCACACACACAAACACACACACACACACAAACACACAAAAAAAACACACACACAAAAACACACACACACACACAAAAACACACACACACAAAAACACCCACACACACACACAAAACACACACACACACACAAACACAAACACACACACACAAAACACACACACACACACAAAAACACACACACACACGAACACACGAACACACGCACACGCACACGCAAAAAACACACACACAAGAAACACACACACAAAAACACACACACACACAAAAACACACACAAACACACACACACACACAAACACACACAAACACACACACAAACACACACAAACACACACACAAACACACACACACAAACACACAAACACAGACAAACACACACAGAAACACACAAAAAACACACACAAACACACACACACACCACACACCACACACACACACCACACACACACAACGCACAAACAACACACACACACCGCACACAACACACACCAAACAAACACACAAAACCACACACACACAAACACACACAACCACACACACAAACACACACACACACACCACACACCACACACCACACACCACACACACACACCACACACACAACGCACACCACACACACAACGCACACAACACGCACACACACACACACACGCCACACACAACACACACCAAACAAACACACAAAAACACACACACACACACACACACACACACACACACACACACACACTAACACACACACAAACACACACAAACACACACACACACAAACACACACACAAACACACACACACAAACACACACACACACAAACACACACCACACACCACACACCACACACCACACACCACACACCACACACCACACACCACACAACACACACCACACACCACACACCACACACCACACACCACACACACACAAACACACACACGCACACAACGCACACCACACACACAACGCACACCACACACACACACAACGCACACACAAACACACACACACACAAACACACACACACAAACACACACACACACACAAAAACACAAACAAAAACACACAAACACACACACAAACACACACACACACACAGACACACACACACACAACACACCACACACCACACACCACACACACACACACACACCACAGACACAACACACACACACAAACACACACATACACAACACACACACACCACACACAACACACACACAGACAGACACACACACACACACAGTCACACACACGGTCACACACACAGTCACACACACACAAAAACACACACAAACACACACACAAACACACACACACACACACACACACACACACACACACTAAAACACACACACACACTAAAACACACACACACACACTAAAACACACACACTAAAACACACACACACACACACACTAAAACACACACACACAAACTAAAACACACACACACACACACACTAAAACACACACACACACACACTAAAACACACACACACACACTAAAACACACACACACACACACTAAAACACACACACACACACACACACACACACACACACACACACACACACACACACACACACACACACACACACACACACCACACACAACGCACAACGCACACACACACCACACACCACACACCACACACACACACACCACACACAACGCACACACACACACACAACACACACACACCTACACCTACACCGGAGCCACAATCAAGACCCGGGTAAGTGAAGGGTAGTCAGGGACGATCCCAGCCAAAAATAGCTGCGGCCGCCTTCTTAGTTCTTTACATGGTTCTGGGTCGACCATTTTTGTATTGGGTTTTGATTGTGGCTCACCTGCTATTCAAAACAACGCAACTGAGTGCAGCTTGTTGAAAGCTGACAAGTAACAGGAGGCTAGGTGTAACCTGTCCTTGAGCCGCCCCCAGCATCTTTTGCCGTGGGTTTACTCGGTGAAAGTCACATCTCGTTGTAGTTGCTCACATTCAAACTTTCTTATGGGTATGGTGCCAAACTCAAAGCCACCTCGTCGCTCATTTTGCCTTGCAGACCATTTTGTCTTCAGACTCGTCAAACGAAGCCTTTCTTGCATGGTACGCAAGTGATACAGGTTCATAGAGGCGGGCAGTCCAATTTAGGGAAAGCGCAGGTTGTTGACGAGGCCACCAAGTATGTGCCGTGGAACATTTTGGTTGGCCTTTAAAAATCAGCATTGTCGCAACATGCCACGCAACAAACAGCATGGGCAGACTTCAAGCATGCAGCTGTGCACAATACCGAGGCCCACTGGCAGCCGAGAGGAGTTCCGAGTGCTAACAGAGCAGCCTCATCCGCTCCCAAGCTGGCAATCGGAACCGAGCCTGTGGAAGGGCGCCCGCGGAATTGTATAGGACGGCGGGATGCACGCAGCTCGGGGTTCTGAAGGAATTGCTCACACATAGGCGCAAGGATCAACTGCAAATGGAGAGGTTCGTCAAACCTGCCTTCCAAAGCAGGCAAAACACGACCATCCAAAGGACCGCAGAGAGGAAGGGGCCTGGAGAATAAACCAAGTGCGAGTATAACGGCAACCTAAGCACGCCAGCCATGGTCACTTCAACCCCCTGCACAAAGCGCGAACAAATATATGCGCTCACGAGGTCCAGCCAGTTGCCTTTCCGAGAAGATTCATCGTGGTTGATGTTGAGCTTTTCGCGCACCAGCCCTTCCAGGAGCAAATACACCACATGCAAGTACAGGGTCTTCATTGTGTGCTCGGGGCTCATCGTTCGAGCAGCGCCGTCAAAAAAGGACTATGGACTCTGAGTGACTAGCTTGTTACTATCAACAAACGTTTGGGCTTGTCCTCTTTTTGAGGCTCGTTACCCGTATAGGGGTTGTCTTGGAGGAAGACTCAGGAGAAAGCCCCGCAACAATTTTAGGGGGTTCCCTATTTTGAGACAAACCCACATCATCTTAGTGACCGCTCGTACAACGTACTGACCCAGAATGCAGAGCCAAGCTGCAGCTTGGGTGTGGGCAAAAGGCTGCAGCCTGTTAAGGTCATGGTGTAGGTTGCCTTGGCCAAGGCAGCGCTGGGTGCATGTGTGACAAGTCTGCTCAATCCTGACAAGATAATCAGTGAGCACGGCTAAGCCACAAGCAAGCCAAGCCCTCCAGGCACCGTAACATATCTCCCCATACCAGAACGGTCAAGAATGAGCGACCGAAATCCGAAACTCGCTGGTTCTCAGTCAATTCCGCTCTGGGAAGCCGTGGAATGACCACTGAAAGGCAAGGGATGGCGAAAAACCCTCCCTCGTTCCCTGCGCCCAGGGTCTGCCAAGTTCACCGCGGTTCTCATCTGCCGGCACGCCGCTGGGCCCCAAGCCTCGTCAAATCTTTGCTTCACGTCTCCCGATTGGCCCAAACTGCTTTGCCACCAAATTGGTCTTATAGGTCTGAAGTCCAAAAACTGGAGAAGTAAGGATTGAATCGCATAACCCTTTGGTGGACATCATAACTACATGATCGGATTTTCTGCCCACCAATCATTACAATGGTGCTCCCAATTCATGTTCATGGCCATTTGGAAAAACGTAGATGAGACCCTTCCTGTTGCAGTAAAGGGGATGACCTGATATGACAGATTAGACCTGTACTGTCATCTAAGAATGTTGGAACAACAGTGACTTCTGAAAATAGGCAGCCATGGGCAACGTGTAGCCTTGCTCGAAATCTCTCCCCTCATCAAACAGAACAGTGTCTCAACACTATAGGCCCCTCCAAGTGCTTTCCCTTTGGAATCTCCATTTTGTGGCATATATGTTCAAATAGGTGCCGTTCTTCTCTGAAGTTGGCAACCAAACTTTCTTGGTGGGTTGTGATATGTCCGCTGGATTGCCCTACGTCGAGCTTTCAGGGTATTGCTTTCATCGGTATGATCTTTTTGATGGTGCCCTTTGGGGGTGTTGAGGAAAACCCACAGGAAAATCCACCCATTTTGGCAGCTTCCCAAATTCAGAGACAAATCCAAGGCTGGAAAAGGCAAAGCAGCGCGCTCAGCCGTCTTCATCGCATAGATGGTGTAGTTCATATCTGAGCCAAGGCGACTTGCAAGCACAAGGGCCCAAAGTGCTGATTGCTTGAAACATAATTACTCACAAACCACAACATGCATCTCATCACTCACAGGAAACTGACATCACATGGCACTTTGACAAAGCAACCACACCAAACACATCAAACACACCAACCACACCAAACACACCAAACACACCAAACACACCAAACACACCAAACACACCAAACACACCAAACACACCAAACACACCAAACACACCAAACACACCAAACACGCCAAACACACCAAACACACCAAACACACCAAACACACCAAATACACCAAACACACCAAACACACCAAACACACCAAACACACCAAACACACCAAACACACCAAACACACCAAACACACCAAACATACCAAACACACCAAACATACACATACACACAAGCAAACCAACCGCGTCGCAGCTGGGGCCGGCGCTGTCGACATCCTGAATGACCGCCCACAGCAGGCCCTGGGGGTTGACCGTCGTGAAGGTCACCTCAGCTCAAAAAGCGCTCCACTTCGCGGATTCGTACGACCCTCCCGGACCCTCCCCCCCAAACAAAAAGAAGAAAGAGGCAAAAGCGAGCCATTTCGACCAAGTGTTCATTGGAACTAGAACATTTGGGCAAGAATTGAAATAGAACATGGACCTTTTGCAGGACATCCGAATCCCTCATTCAATTTCATAACCCCCCAACCGATCAGCTCATGATCATTTGTAGGGAGCAACTCGGCGGCACGCCTGCTTATTTTGCTTGGACTCGTTATGGTTGGTTTGAAGGGACATCAGGAAACCAAACATTTTTGGGGTTCCCAAATCTTGGGACAAACCCTAGTAACAGGGAACCCCATTTCTGGGAAACCCTGCAAACAAGCAAACAAAAAGGCTTTTCAGGGCGCCACTGATCAACTGGGGTACGTGTGGGACTATTGGGGAAACCGAAATTGGTTGTAGGTAGAAATATGCCAACATCAGGTAATTCCGGGGAAAAATACAACGTCCATTGGGCAAGAACTGTCCAGTTTCCGCCGTTTTGTTGTCGAAATGAGTTGGATCCCCTCCTTGATTCAAACCGCTGTGTGACAATAGCGTTTGCCATGAGAAGCCGTCCCTGCTTTCGGACTGCTTTGGCCCATTTGGCCAAGGAACGTCCATGCCCATCCCGTGGGGTCCTTTGGAGATGTAGGGATAGCCATCCGGCCAGGCCCATTCGTTGGAGAAGGGAGGTACCACCAGCACGCCGTTGGACACGCGCCCGTTGTCTCGGTGCCAGGTAGTCCAAAATGGCCACCGATAGACCTGAGACGGCAATGCGCGTTGGCCAAGACTCCATACTATGCGGGTCATGGGATTCGGGTCATGAATCCCACGAGCCCCGCAATCCTCAACCTCAAGACCTCAAGCTTTGAACAGCTTGGCTCAAGCGCAAGCCCGAGGAGCCCGCGACACTTTCTGAGGGCTGCACGGCGTCTGGGTCCACTACAGGATCCCAGTACTCCTGGCGGGCTCTAGTCATGCGGCGGGTAGTCTGGTTTTGATCTGGCTTGAAGTGAGATATGGATGGCCACCGTTGCAACTGCAGCCCAAACAGCAGATTGTGCAGGGCAGTGACTTCGTGTAAGCCTTGACATGGCTGGGTTGAAAGATGACTTGCTTTGAGGCTCGCTCTTGCCACCGTGACGCGCATGCAACACATGCAAATGGCGAGTACGGCTGGTGGTTTCCGTCACTCTCAGGGAGCTCCGTGCTATCGGCAAGTACGTTTGTCGCTGCACTCTTTGGAGATGCTTGTGGCACTTGTGGCACTTGCCTGCTGACTTGCCCAGCTGAGGCTCCTTGTGCAATCGGTAACAGCAAGGCACTCCACGGAACAGGTATTGTCTGCCTTGCTTGATGATACTCGACTTGCACCGCTTACTTATACTGAATACGTGCACGTGTGAAAGAGTGCCTCTGCACATGCAGGTCACTAACAGTCCCCCCAAAGCTCCTGTTTGGTCAGTTTGGCAGCTGCAATGATTATGGGTACTCTGGCCAAATCAAAAGCCCTGCTTCGCGGGTGCCTTTGGCTATTTGGGAAGGAACTGCTTCTTATGCTTGTGACTGCATGGAACACACACCTCTAATTGGAAGTGTCCGTTGGAGATAACATACGAGGTTCCCCCGTGGACATGGGCCATTTTTGGCTTCCTCCCCCTTGCGCCCTTTGCGTTTGCGCGGCCTAACTACAACCCAAAATTGGAACGTTCGACTGGACCTGTTGACAACAACAACTGGCCTCCCCTATGATGTACACGAAGAGGCGGTAGCGGATGCCAGGGGCCAGGCCACAATTGCTGAGATCCCAGGTGTAGCCTTCTGCCGAGGGCACGGAGCGGGCGAAGAAGTTCATTGATTCAGCTGTCTTACAGGGGTGCTTCTGGTGCTTCCAAAAATGAGAACCCCCCGTCTTGGATAAACACCAACAGGCAACCCGGGCCCTGCTTCTGGATAAAACCATTGGCCACCGCACCAATTTAGGGACACCCGTTTTGGACCCCGGCACAAGCCATGTGTTGACCTTTCGGCTTCTCGCCTGTGCCGGCAACGATGGGCTCAGCCTGCTTGTAGCACGTGTCCTGTGCGCCCACCATGTCCACGAAGAACATGATGTCCTCTGCCAAAAAAGCGAGACAAAGAGAAAGAGAGAGGGAGAGACACAGAGAGAGGGAGAGATACGTACAGATAGAGGAAACAGAGAGTTCTAGAGAGAGAGAGAGAGAGAGAGAGAGAGACAGAGAGGGAGACAAAGAGGGAGGCATGAAGATTAGGAGACAACCAGAGAGCCACAGAAAGAAAGAATGAGAGAACAATCAATAGCTACAAAAAGAGAGAGAGAGAGAGAGAGAGAAGCAAAGCGAAAGCGAGACGGGGAGAGAGAGAGAGAGAGAGAGGGAGATAACAAGCGAGAAACATGTGGAGAAAAAGGTATACATACCGTGCAGAAGTTCACATTTTGGCGGATTTTATGATTATCGGTTGCATAAGCGGAACCCCAACTATCCGAAGCCGGGGCTCGTAGATCTCAATGCTCTGGATGTCCGCGTGGTTGCCGTTGGAATTGTTGGCCTTGCAGTGTATCAACACCGAACACCACAAATGC